ATGCCCAGGTATTGTTCAAGTCCCACAACCTGCGCATGCGAACTCTCTCTCTCTCTCTTTCTCTCTTTCTCTCTCTCTCTCTCTCTCTCTCTCTCTCACACACACACACACACACACACACACACACACACACACACATGCTGTTTTGTAAAAGCTGTTTCTTATCATCAATACAGTGGTGAATTCAAAGGATGAAGGGTGAATAGGAAAGTAGCAAGAATACTATCCTGCCTCTTCCTCCTGCGGAGAGGAAAGAAACTTTCTTACACAGGCAACTTCAGTCACGCCCTGTAATCAGGCATAGCCAGGTCATTCCCGGTTAACCTCCAGCTGGGTTCAGACTTCATCTTTTGGTGCTCAAGGGTTATTTGAGGGAGCCACATTCTGAAGCATAAGGACACAGTATAGAGTATCTAACCACATGTACTGTTATTAGTTTCCTTGAAGATTAATACCAAGTTGTCTAAAAGTGGAAATGGCACCAGCCTTTGGGTTGCAGCATTGCAATCAGCTCTGGCATGCCAGCTTTTCCACCAGACTCTGGGCAAGTTTGCAAACTGGCAGGGAAGGACACTTTGACCACTCAGATCATGAATCCCAGTGGCCTTCAAATCTGGTTCAAATCTAAATCCTTGAGTGTATCTACTTTGGTGTCTGGAAATGTCACAAGAAATTCTCCTGTTTTAACTATGGGATCATATGTGAAAGTCTTAGGTGAGATTTAGATCCAGACAATTATAGTTTGAATGCCTACTGCTTCATTTCTTGTTAGAGATTCAGCTGTGGATAAGTCGCTTATTCTCTTAATGTCTCAGTTCGGTTATCCATAACATAGGCATTATAGCTATCTCAAAGACTTGCTGTGGAGTTTGGCTATAATGAATATAAAGGGTTAGCAGATGGAAGATACTTTTCACAAGGTATACAGAAGCAAAGGAAAGGGTGACATTGTAATAAAGAAAAGAAAAGAAAAAATGTACACATTATCTGATTTATGAAATGGTAACCCTTCTGTACAACACCTTAATAACAACAATAAAATTATATTTTCAAAAAAAAGATATGTAGAGCTATCCACATTGTCCAAAACAACAGCCTGGAAGATTTCTGTCATCCTTGCATCTAATTATCAACAGCTGATAGAATCTATCTAAGCAATTTGTTTTTCTTTCAATCAAGGATACTCAGATGTAGGGAACTCAGACTAATGACCATCCTGGGCTCCATGGGCAACACTCCTTATGCCCCAGAGTGAACAGAACGATTGATAAATGTTCAAGATTTCCTGGAGCTCCTACAAGACCCCTGTAGTCAAGCTCCAAGGATACACTCCTAATCTAGGAAAGCTAGTGTGGGCCATAGGGGGACTCTGTGATAGTGACATAATCTTTCAATTTGGGGATTATATGAAGAAAAGAAGGAAGAGAGGGAAAAAAGAGGAAAGGAAGGGAGAGAGAGAGGGAGGCACGAGATTCACCCAGCATAAGTGTACTAACTCCAGATGTTTTTGGTTTACTTTGGTTTGGTATTTAAGTCCTCTTTTTTTTCTCATGGGAGCATTGGAAATCTTTATAACCTGATGTCTGGAAGTATAATTTCAATTCCCTGTTTGGAATACTCTAGGAAGTATGAGGTCCAAAATTATGAAAATAAAATCTTTCAATACTTTTTCTTTGGCTAAATGTTAATCACTATCCAGGAGAGCAGAGAGGCAGCAGGAAAAGATGTGGCTGTACATATTTTAATCGATGCCAGAATCAGCACATCAAAAGGCAAAATTTTCATCTCTCTGACACCAGTTGGGCCATAGGTGATTAAACTATACCGTTACTAAACTGTAACCAGACAACAGATACAAAATCTTTAAGGACAGAACTACTTACCTATTCTAAGGAAGAGCCAGCTCCACTGGAAGGCTGAGAGACAAAGGAGACTTCAGGGGTCTCAGCCTGCTGCTGGCCCTGTTATTATTGATATATTCCAAGGACTTAAGCCACCCATTACAGCCACTTTGGAACTTAAAGCAAAGTATACAAACGAAACTCTCTGGATCACAAGACAGCACATGCCAACCATTTCTCTGCAACCATGGAGGCAGAAAAACTTCTATCACCTAATCTTTTTATTATTAAGTTTTATTATTAAGCACTTAGCTCAGAGTGAAATTCGGTGCGTGCTTGCTTTCCTTGGAGATAATAGGGCACCAGTCTGGCCTGAAAACTTGTCCAGTTGTCTGCTTACAGAGGAATGACGCTGTCCCTGTATCATGAACTCCCACTAGCAAATATTACACACACACACACACACACACACACACACACACACACACAGAGCTAGGAAACACCTTTCATTCATTCATGTTAACAAAGTCTAGAGATGGATTCCTGCCACAGGGAGGCGCTGCCCTGTTCACTTCCCACAGACACGGTCCTGGAGCTTCCAGAGTTAGGAGAGGAAATCCCAGAAATAAATAATTAAATTTTAAAAAAATGTTTGGAAGTCAGAAGCAAATAGTTCTGAATCCTGGTACGACTTTTCCAGATTGCGCTCGTTGGGCATCTTTGGGGTGACAGAAAAAACACACACACCTGCCTATTTGTACACCCATCCGCAAATGCACACACGCGTGTGCACACACACACACACACACACACACAAACACACACTCGCAGCTAACATTAGATCTGCAATCCCAATGGCATATAATTACCCCTGGGAGGGAACTGCCAGGAAAGCAGCCTTCGCCTAAAGATCTCACCACCTCCTCCGACTGGGCGACAAGTGAATGTCCACCAAAGATTACAAGGGGACAGCTTCCCACGGTTCCACCTAAACACAGACTTCTCGTGTTCCTTTCCAGACAGCTCCAGTTTTAATGCCGCGCCCAGCGAGCGCGTCCCTGAGGTTGAAAGCCAAGGCTGCCCAAATCTCCCCACCCCCACTCTGGGGAAACTTCACCACTGCCCCACGCGGAGAAGGAAAGACCCCTCCACGGGCCAAGTGGCCGCCGGGCTGGGGGCACCGCTGGAGCCGGGGCGCGGGAGACAGGGATGAGTTGCGTCGGGGCTGGTTGCATGCTTTGTGCACGTGGAGGGAGGCAAGGCAGCCCGGTGGGCGGCAAGCAAGTGGCCCTCTCGGCTTCGGGGCACCGGATTCCTGGGGGAACAAAGGTCACCGAGGCCAGCGCCATCGCCTCCCACACACACAATTCTCGCATGTGCTCCATAGCAAGACATGAGTGCAGAGTGCATGCCCAAGGAAGGGGTCGAGGCGTGGGTACTGTGAGCCAAGCGCCTGCTGGGGACCTCCCCCCGCCCCCCTTCCTGGCTAAGCCTCCCCACATACAATCTCTGAGAACAGTAGAAGCGAAACCTTGCCTTCCGATCAGGCTTCTCCGGCCGGGTGGGTTTCCTCCCCGCGCACGCCCACCCGCAGAGGCCCTCCACGCCGCCCTGCGCCCCGGGGGTACCGCGCGCCCTGCACCCTCGCGGGGTGCCGCCCGCACCTGGATGTGGCAGGAGATCTCCGAGTCGTCCAGCAGTCGGATGGTGCATTTCATCTCCTGGCTGAGCGATTTGATGCTGGAGCTCCGAAAGTGGATCATTTTCATGGTCCTCCTGCCTCTCGGCACACAGTGGCAGGAGGCGAACATGCACCACAGCGCCGAGGAGCGAGCGGGAAGCTCCAGGCCGGCGCGCCGCGGCGCTCGTCCGCGCGGGCTCACACACGGCGAGGCTCACGCGCCGTCCCGGACCCCTGGGCGCGGCTCAACCCAGGGACAGCAGAGGCTTCGGGCGCCTTGGGCCGCACATGCCGGCCAGGCTTGCGGGCGGGCGGGTCCCTCGGTCCCCCTCCCGCTCCCCCGCCTCGCCCGCTCCTGTCCCCGCCTCCTTCGGGCGGGCGCGCGCTCGGGCGCCTCCTTCCGCCCGGGTTCGGTCGCCGAGGACGGCCCGAGTAAGGCTACCCGCACCCGGAGCTACGCACTCAAACTCCCACCCGTACCCAGAGGCTGGAGGAGGTGGCATCGGACCGCTGGTTCCGATGACCAGAGAACCCTAGCGATGGCCTGCTCTGCCACCGCCACCACTGCGTCAATCTGGGCCCGGCTGCCTTCCTCGCCCCGGCCGCCTCCTCCCTCTGTCAGCCGGCAGCGAGCGCGCTGGCTTGGGCGAGTCCCCTGCCCCGCATCACCAGCGCGCCCCGCAGCACCTCGCACTGCTCGGCCCCAGGGACCTGTGAAGGGAGCGACCCTGACCTGCACCACCCCACCCCACCGCACCCCCAGGGAGATCTGCTGGGGCAGAGCGGGAGGGGCGGGGGGAGGAAGATGGCTGAGTCTTTTGGGATATCCCCAGGAGTGGTTGGAGGCCTGGACTCCAGGCTGTTGGAACAATATCTGGTTTTTAAAGCCATTGGTTTATTTCATAGTAGTAGGGATCACCCCTTTCTCTAAGAATTCCAAACCTTGCTTACTCCATCTCTCCTTTGTGTCTCCTAAGGTCTCAGCAGGATTTTTTGGTAGCCTGTACCACAGACCAGACCAAGGTGGGTCCCTATGCTGCCCTTCCCCTTTAGAGAGCCTCCAAATGCCCAAGAATTTAGGCAGTTCCTGTCTAAAGAGGAGTGTCTCCACCTACTTAAAACTAACACAGCCGGGCGCTGGTGGCTCACGCCTGTAATCCTAGCTACTCAGGAAGCTGAAATCTAAGGATGGCAGTTCAAAGCCAGCCAGGCAGGAAAGTCCATGAGACTCTTTTCTCCAATTACTCACCAGAAAACTGGAAGTGAAACTGTGGCTCAAGTGGTAGAATGCTCGCCTTGAGCTGAAGAGATGAGGGACAGCACCCAGGCCCAGAGTTCAAGCCCCAGGACCGACAAAAACCAACAATTCCGCAGGGCGCTGGTGGCTCAGACCTGTAATCCTAGCTAATCAGGAGGCTGAGATCTGAGGATCTCAGTTCAAAGCCAGCCCGGGCAGGAGAGACAGTGAGACTCCTATCTCCAATATACCACCAGAAAACCGGAAGTGGCGCTGTGGCTCAAGTGGTAGAGCGCTCGCCTTGAGCTGAAGAGCTGAGGGACAGCGCCCAGGCCCAGAGTTCA